GTCTAGGGGACTTCCATGCACGCAAAACTTGACTGTTACCCATTTGAGCCGACGGTTCGGTAGTGTAGTGGTTATCACGCTCGCCTCACACGCGAGAGGTCCTGGGTTCGACCCCCAGCCGAACCATTTATGCCACACTTTCTTTTTTCTGCATAACTGTGTCCAATTCGGGCTTTAGATCGATGTACCTTTGCTGTCAAGGTTCTGTAGTGTAGCGGTTATCACGTCTGCTTTACACGCAGAAGGTCGCGAGTTCGAGCCTCGCCAGAACCTGGAAATTTTTTATCGGCTTCTCACATTCGCCAAGAAACAGAGTACCTCTATTTCTTGCATTCCCCAATTTGCACGATTTCTACATCAATGCGTGATTCTCTTGAGTTCCAGAGCCTACGAAGATGTCCGCATCGGTGGTCTAGTGGTAGAATACTCGCCTGCCACGCGGGTGACCCGGGTTCGATTCCCGGTCGATGCACAGATATCTTTTTCTCTCTTTTTCCATGCTCGCGTACGGTGCGAACTCAAAATTGGCACCACTCAATGGAAAGTAGGTTTCTGGCTGTGAAAAATGGACTGGTACTCAGCGCTCCGATATGGTCTAGCGGTTAGGATTCCTGGCTTTGGGGGACTTGAGTGGTCTTTCGAGCTGTCAACACGTACTATGTGAACTCTGGGATTTACTCAAGCGTTAAATTGGACTAATAGTATATTTGGAAAAAACCTAACTGTGACTGTTTGATTAACTAGTGAAAATGAATTCTCGCGTTTGTGCTAAAGAACTTATCGTCGATATTGATGTAGTTGATTTAACTAAAATTAACATTGGTGAATTTATTGACGAAATTGAGGATGTGGTTGGAATTGGAAATGTGTACGCCGTGACTAAATGTAGACCCAACATCATACAAGTTGCCTTGAATTCAAAAGAAAATGCCGAGAAACTTTGTAATGGATTATCTGTGAATGATAAAACTTTTGATTGCAATTTTGCATATTCACCATATACCATTGTCTCCTTCATGGATATACCTTCGTATATTGAGGATATTGTTTTGATTAACAAACTCAGGATATTTAATATTGAAATCGAAGGTAAGGTTATAAGACATTATTATGATAAGTATGAAACTATTGAAAATGGTATTCGACACGTCAAATGTATTTTCCCCCCAGACGTCAAATCCCTCCCATGGGCAGTAAATCTAGAGACGATTCATGGATTTAAAAGCTTCCGAGTAATCCACAATAACCAGACTAAAGTGTGCCATAAATGCCTACAGGACAGTCATGTAATAGCTAATTGTCCTAAAATAGAATGCAGAAAGTGCCACCAACTAGGACATATGGCTAATAAATGTACAGTCAAATATTGTGAAATTTGCAAAAAGTTAGATATTAATTGTGTGTGTAGTAACTACTTCGATGATGACATTAACAGTACTTCTAATGAACTTCTGAGTGATAACTCTTTAGCCAATCAAGATATAGAAAGCAAAGTGAACAAAAGCGTGAGCAAACAATCCAATAATTCAAGCTTAAATGAACACAAATCTAAAAAGGTCAAACTAGACGTCACCCCGACAACACAGCAGATGCCACGCGTGACTGAGAAACCTATGAACACTAACGAACAAGCCAAGGAAATCCTAAACCCATCTGAATCGACTAGAATATATGATAATGTTGAAAATATTTCGCCACTTTCGGGAGAATTAACGACTGACTTTTCAATAATCGAACTAAATGAAATGAAAAATGGCAAAGACGAAAATAATATACCCAAAGCCCCTCCCTCGTCGCCAGCCACAAACCCCATCTTA